AATAAAATCAACAAAACTATAAAATCAATTAAATTGTACATCCTCGATATTTTATTAAGATTTTTTATTTTAAGTATAATAAAAGGGGCTCAGAGCCTGAGCAGGATTGTAATGTCCGATAAAATTACTTTATTATAATAGCAAATGTACATATATTATACATTTCGGTTATTGGACCATCTTCAGTATAATGAAAAAAATAATAAATACAATTAAAATTACCGTATCGTCATCCTCATAGCTCGACACGGTTACAATTTTTTACTCATTGACTCATCATGTTATATTCACTTGCATCGTTTATTTTGTGTTTCTTATTTTTACCGTACTGTTTCTTATTTTTACCGTTACCTGACCATTACTGTTTTTCACTTTTTGACTCATGATGTTATATCTATGTACTTGCGCCGCGTGTTTTTGTACTACCGTCTCTTAATTTATTATTATACAATTTTATATTACTGACTGCGTAATCTATGTATACTTTTAATTCGCGAATCGATGTATATTTTTAATTGTATTTTTTTTTTGTTATGCTGAAGATGGTCCAATAAGGACCGAAACGTATATATGCATTTGCTATCATAATAAAGTAATTTTATCGGACATTACAATCCTGTTCAGGCTCGGGCTCCTTTTATTATACTTGATTTTATCATAGGAGCCATGTTATTTATTTTTATTTTAACTTGCTATTCTGAAGATTCAGGTATCATATGGGTAATTGTATTATATTATAGAATATTTGTGCAGTATATTCTGCAGCGAGAACATATGCGGCTATAGCGAATCTATAAGAGCAACAAGCTTCCTGCATTAGAGGATTCTAGAATCAACGTACAGAGTTATCGCACGAGAGTAGATAATTCGCCACGCTTGTCAGTAGCGATGTTACGTGGGCGTATAATGTGCACGAAGAGCACTGCCGCGCGTACACCCCTCAAACCCCTTTCGTGTGGCTTTTACTCTCGCCATCTCCCTCTCTCATTTCTCCTGCCTCCACACCCCTCCTGCCGGTCTATCCTTTTTTTTCAACCCTAAATTTCATTCCCAGAATCCGTTTCCGCCGCGTGCCTGCTTGTAAAATCAGTACATCCGGGTGTCAAAGCGATGTCATCCGAACGGGTGGCCGGGCACGCATCACTTTTAAATTCGATCAATGGGTGACGCCAAGCGTAAAACACTTTTAGGGTTGAAACTTTAAAGGCCGCTTCTCGCGAGGAAGAGCGAGAGAGAAAGAGCGGGCAGGCAAATCGCAGTTACAACCGTGAAACTACCGGGAAGGCGGGGATGCACATTGTGGGAACGTATTCGAAAATGAAAAAAAAAACCCCGCTCTTTAGATTCCGAAAATGTAAATCGACGTGGCAGCGCGCGCACACGCGAGTGCATGAATCGATGTAAGAAATTTAAATACATCCCAAATTGCCATTTCTAAAGTCACTCGAGCATTTCACGAGACGAAGAGAGAGAGAAAGAGAGAGAGAGAGAGAGAGACATTACCGATGCACCGACGGTTTTACGAAATCTAACAGATCTACGGATGTTGAATTTGAATTGACCGGCGCCTCTCCGTTAATTACTCCACGACCTCACGGGAAATGTACCGCTCCCTCGTAGGTACACAAACGATCGCTCGATCCGCATATCGATCATACGGCGTTCCCGGGGCGCGTCCCAAAATTTGCGCTTCGAGAAACGCAGCGCGGCCGCATCCCGAAATCCGCGCGTTCTCCGATCGCGCGTGTCCCTCGGACGCGCGCGTCTGACAGGGTGATTTCCTAATACAAACAAAAACCGTGGCCTGCAGCGAGTGCATTGCGGGTTACAGCGGCGAGAGAGACGTTGCCTGGCAACTGATCCACGTTCGCGTAATTCATTTTAGGGAGCCGCACGGGGGGCATTGGTACGTACGTACGGCCTGACCCTCCGTTGCACTGCCCGACCCTCCGAGGGTGCACCTTCGCCCCCTCCCCTTCCCTGCACCCCTCGTCGTCCTCCTGAACGATGCACTGCACAGACGACGGATGCAGCCGCGAGTGACCGACGGCGAGCGGAGTCGCGATGATCTGATTTTAAACCAATCAACGGCGGTTTCGCGCTCAATTTACAATCAGCCCTGATACGAATCACTCGTTACGCGCCGACCAACTGTGCGCTTTAACGAAAATATTTTAATCGATCGCGACGCGACGCGAGATTGCCGGGGTCGCCCCCGACTCGCTGAAAAGAAGACTAAATCGAGCCGCAATCGTTGACGTCGAATACCGCTCTTCGTAACAAGCGGAATGGTCCTTTGTCCATGCGCAGACTCTGGCGACTTTCGAAATGCTCACGGAGAGTGCACTAAATGTCTAAAGATACATCGCTATCGATTTCACCGATATCGATTCAGCGCTTGTTTCAAAATCTCTGCAAAACCTAAAATATCGATCTCCGATATTTCAAACAGCCACTGGCACGAGCGAAAAATTGTAATAATGAATGCGAGCCGTCGCATATTAAATCGCGTGAGATAACGTATTAGATCGAAGTCGTATTATTCGGGGGAACGAGACGACCCGAGTGTACACGCATCCGACGAGTACTTGAGTAGAAAATTATGATAATGCTCAGTGCGCTTACTCGTAAATAAGTACGGTCGATTATTTATTTTTATCGGCGCGCGGCCCGCGCGACGATCGGTATTAATTCGCAACAGTAGCTCGTGAATTTACGTCACCTGCGCGCAATAAAGTAAATCTCGCGTTTCATGGCTTTGTCCCGCGTGGCCCTCGCGCTATGCGCGCGGGGCTTCTCAATTACACGTCGCATTAGCCGACAATAAAAGCGACGATCGATGATACGGTAAAGATACGGCTGTATACATGAATTTCTAATGAGCGGAGCGCGCTTTTGTTATCGGCAAATTGCTCTCTCTCTCTCTCTCCATAGTTACTTTGTGTAATATACACAAATATAAGCGAAATATATTCACGGGCCGCGCACGCCGAGCAATGCATTCTGTTCCGCAATAACGTTGACCCTCGTGACGAGATTTGCATAAATCGATCGTTGAAGAGTTAAATAGTACAACCTGGTATTTTTACCTATCGAGAGCTTGATAAAATATGAGTTTCTGTTAACACGAGCTACGCGAGGCGCGTTATTATCCAAGGTATTTGCATAATCGTTCAATATCATCATATTTAAATTCCTACCGTGTCCCTGCAGCCGTATGTCGCATGAATTATTAATCGCAACATTGCGATCTAGTTTAATATAATGAAGGAGACTTGGTTTAAGCCTCTTTTTTTCGTAAAGATCGATTCTTAAGGTGGCTCCTGCACGAAGGAGCGGTTAGTACGGGTGCTTTGGTGGGGCCCCTTTGATTTTTATAAACTCATAAGACTTTTCATTAAAAAAATATCACTTAATGCGTTATTGATCAAATGCATTAATATATGCCAGGTTATATATGCACATTTAAGAACATATTTAAAAATATGTGATATAGTGAAGTTTCAAAGAGTTGTCAAATTTCCTCAAAACATTGTATCTTTTGACTTCACTAATAAGTAGTTGCTTGCAGCACAGCTGCAACCTTGTGACGTTTATTTGTTAAGATCTACTTTTTCTACAAAATAATATCAACCCTCAAAGTGCATCTGCGAGCGATCGGCCCATAACCCCTTATCTCAGTGAACACCAAGTAATAGTTACATAACATCAACATTATAATTTTCTACTTAACAATGGAAATGTAATATAACATGGGTGTTATATTATAATATTGAGGATTTATGTAACTTACTTGGTGTTTACTGGAATGTTAAAAAATACAACTTTAACATTTTTCTTTATTTTATTTCATCGGCGACCGGGTCTAAAATTTTGAGCACCGATAGATAAATTCTACAACTACAGCATACTAAAGTTTCTATTTTTTCGACTTTTGGTCGGTTTATGCAGGAGCCACCTTAAAAGGGCGAATTATTAAAGGAGCCATTTTCAGTGTGCAGATACGTTCGCTACCTCGATGCTGCTTTGAACGACCGTATACGATGCTCACTTGCGTTAGTGAGCCGCGCGATCGCGCGAGCCTGGCGGTCTCCGATTACGAGATAAAGAATGTCGGCGTTAATTCGGCGTAACGAGCGAGGGAGATAACCGCGGCGAATCTCTCGGCGGGCGAGCGTCGCCACGCATGCACGCGTGCAACTTTACCTACCTACGCGCGTCCGCTGTCGCGTGCACGCGCTCGCGCGAGGTTGCGAGTTGCGTGCCGTTCGCGCTTTAATTCAGCAAAGTGCCTCGTTTCGTTCCGGCGCGCGAAGATGCCGAAGGGGCGCGATCAGAAGCGGGCCGCTATTTCCCGGGCTCGCCGGGGCCGATAACGAGGAAACGGACGATCTCTATTTGCGTATGCGCCGAGCATCGAGTGACAAAAATGAGAAAATAATAGACGTTGGAGTGGAAACTTTGAAACGGATTACAATAGAAAGAAACCCGGCATCGATTATCCATGTCAAGACGCATAATTTGACAATTAAGTTCGTGGATAAAACTTGTTTGTAATAAAGCCTAGGTAGTTTGCCCTTTAAATATTGACTCCATACAACTTTGGCGCCTGTTACATTTGTTTTAGTGACGCGCTTCACGGAAACATCCTTTTCTCAGCTGTGATACTAATCGAAATACCAATCGGAACTTTTTTCAGCTTAACAAATGCACGTTTTCACTTATTTATTCTTAATTTACCAGTACGCGAGGGACAAGAAATTAATAGAACCCTTACCAGGAAAGTCAATGGCGCTTCTATCCGAATATGGGGCATCGGCAAGGGGTACGTTGCCAGGTGAGAGCTCAAGGATTGGCACGCGGACGATCGTAGGACTAACGAGCGACGGAAGCGACGAGCGGACTCGGGGAGAATACTAAGAGGGTCCCGCGCGGCCGCCTTGTGTCGGCCGATTAACATTATCGCGGCACAATAAGTGAACATTTCACGCATACGTTACCTCGACTCTGCGATCGCCGAGTTTACGTCTTGCAGCACGCCAGGGATAAACTTCTCAATTCCACGGTCGCCGATAATCCCTTTTGCATGCGCCAGATACTGGGCCGACTTGAAATTCGTCGCCTGAAATAAAGCGAGATATAAACGTATGAATATAATCTTTGTAAATTGCTCGCTATGTGTGTAACAAAGATATTCCCTGGGATATGTTGAATAACAAAGTATAACTATTGAATAAATACAAGCTACGTAGACGCAATAAAATAATTGTCACAGATTTGCCTATCGACATCCCGAACTTATACGGGAAATTCTGCGTTACGTATATCGCGATGAATTCCGAGAGGTCCGCCTTGTTCTGGCATTTTCGTCTCGAATACCGGGGTAACATAACAATCGGCATGTAACAGAAGTCCGGAGCAATGTCGGATTCATTTCCGAGGAACTTGAATTGCTTCCCGGATAGTACACCGTGCGCGATTCCCAGAGCGACGCCGGGCCTCGCGATGCGAGAGGCAAGCGGCCTTACGTAGATCGATACCTCATCAACTATGAATCCACGGCTCAATCGCCTGTCGCCGGATGCATTTCGGCGGTAATAGTTTCTCACAGTCGCAAGCTTTTGCGGCGGCTAACGCAATTTCGCATCCTATCTCTGATATCGATCGAAGATTAGCATCTGGCTGTCCGCAAAGGGAGATTAGCCAGATCGATCACACGTGCTGAACCAATTCCTCTGGCCGGTTGCTCATCAATACCAGTAATGGTGCCGTCCCCCACGATCTTGCCCCTCTTCCTTCCTCCTCCTATATGTCTGTATTGTATATATGTATACGCCCCTGTACTCCTCTAATAGGCATATAATCGTTATGCATATACAGTGACGGACACGTACGGCAGTTCCGTACGCGCGCTTCTGCACACACACACATATACATATATGTAAATATATTACGTGTATATTTACCTATATATTTACATGTACAGACGCGTGTACATACGCACGTATATACGTATACATGTGTGTCTACAGTTGTACATGCTATATATGTATATCTATATATACTCTATATATTGTGTGTACATGCATTGTGCCATCTCTATAATGCCCGGAATACTATATGTCGCGTACGTATGTGCGCGTACGTTACGTATGCACGCGATGCGTGCGTGTACATACATCTAGGCGCATAGCGCGACATACGGTACGATTGCAAATGCAAACATGTTTGCGCCAGCCGATGCAGCACGATGTCATCTCGTGAACCGGCGCGGCGCGGCGCGCGAACGCCCGTGGAAACTCACTTTAAGCTTTGAAGCGCGGACTCTCTACCACGGGGTAATGCGGTCTATCGATTTCCCCGGGCTCCTCTCTAAACTGGCTCACTTTGTTCGGATCTAATGGCAACGCGCGAGGCACGCGGACGGCCAACTATTCGCGTCGTGTCTTGCGCGATGCGTTTCGTTGAATATAAACTTGATTCCGCGGACGCAGATACCTCGCGCGTGTGCGTGTGTGTGCGTGCAGATATTCTGATAAAATCCGACCCTCCAATTATCCATCTCTAATTATCATCAATTACTACATAATAGATTCCAAATCGCCGCGGAGCGAAATTGCGGTAATCACACATTAATTACAACAATCAACTATATTAATATTACGCATTGAGTAGATACGATGTTATTTATTTGATATCGGGAGGCCTTTTAGACAATTTCTATGTCAATTTGCCCCCGCTTGCCGCGATTAGGCTCTCCGATCTTACGTGAGCCAGATCGACGGGATAAACAGCGCGCTCCGCGCGTGAGAGATTACCGGCGATTTCGCTAAAAATATACGAGTCTCGGCCAGCGAGCGCGAACGGCAGACCGTTACATCTGTCGCGCGCATAATGCGTGATATCGCGACTGTTACATCTGTTGTGCGCGCATAATGCATGAGAGACGCGTGTGCAGGCGCGATATTGCGGCGGAAATAGGCGTCGCGGAAAATGGAAAAGCCGCGGCGTATGTTTCGTAACGCGCGCCGCGTCGGTGCCGGTGTTACATCGTTACCCCGTGCCGATGCCACGTGCGCAAAACTCGGGGGTGGGGAAGGGAGGGCGAACGGGAGCCCGTGGGGTGTCCTGCAACTGTTGCACTACTCACGCCGCTATCTCGTCCGTCTGCTGGCGCGCAGTTTGCTTTATTATATTACGGAGAGCCGCGCGCGCGCGCGTTCCCGTCGGTCGTGTGCAAAAGTGCAGAGCGGGACCGACGCTGCGACGCGACGCGCCAGACCGTCTACCGCGGCGGAATTGCGCCAGCTCGATAAGACGCGGCGGCGTCGGAGGCGTCGAGGCTCATGAGAATAAATCGGGCCCCGGTATCGTTCGTGAGACGTTTCGGATCCACCACGTGTATATCTGCGCTGTTTACGAAATCTTACGAGACACGCCGTGCGCAATTGAGTCGAGCGAATAGCAGTCGCTGAACGCGATAGTAGAGAAACGATCTTTAAAGTCTTTAGATATTAGAAAGAGAGAATAATTTACAAAGAGATAGTCAGTTTACTCGATTATCTAAACGGAAATTTATCATTTCCGACAATCTGTGCGTGTATCATTTGTTGAGATTATTTAAATGCTCCTCACAAGGAGATACAACGAAGCGAAACTATCGAGTTAGAAATATAACATGCGAATTATCAGTTATCGAATATGAAAAGCAAACTCAGCGCCCGGAATGGGATAGGAGCTTTCGCGTCCATAGAGGCACAGATGCTCCCGAGGCTCCATTCGAGTGGCACGAGTAACATCTCATGGCCTCGTGGCACAATCATGCGTTTCCACTTTCACGATATTCTCAAGTGGGGCGATAGGGTATATCCCGATCTGATTGGGTCGTCGCGTCGCGTTCGAGAGCGAAAAGACGACGTAGGGGAGCGGAGCCGGGCGCGGCCAAGGGGCTCGACGCCGCCATGCAAATCATTCCCGCGGACGATCCCGTATAAATATTCGACAATTTGCATTTCCCCGCCGTGGCGGAGTGCCGTACGGGGCCATTTCCAAGATGGATGCCGCCACTTTGCGAGATATACGCCGAAAGTTTTACTGCCCACTAAATTTCAACTAGCCCCCGGCAGCGACTGGCGCGTACACGCGCGTATTCTTATGCGCGGCGCAAAAATAAGAGGAATACGACACTTGTTGCTCCGGTTACAAAAAAGTGCCCTCTCTTTCTCTCTCTCGCTCTTTCGTCATCGCGACCCGCGGCGCCGTCGCGCACCCTAATGTATTAATTCACTCTCACGCGTTCTTCTTCCGTCGTGAGGGAAAAACTTACGTACCGTCACGGACGGTTCGTCGACCTTTCGCGCGAACTCTCGCTGCCACCGTACGTGCGCGACGCGAGAGGAAATTGACAACTCACGGTTTCGCGTTTCCGCGAATATCTCCTTAAATAATCCTCTCTGTTAATGACGCGCGAAATGAATAATGACAGTACCGCGGTATCCACGCTGAACGTTATAAAACGATCCGGAAAACCTACTTCGCTATTAAAAGCGCTTTAAAACTCTTTCATCCGGCATCGGGCTACGCTTTCCTTCCCCCGCTGCGTCATCGCAGCGAACACTCGTGTCCCATTTTAGCTTTTCCTACACATCGCATCCCCGCGGAGCATAACAATTAAAACATATTTTTATTCGCCGGCGCGTCTGGTGGTCATTTTATCGCGTTTTTCCTCCGCCAATATATGCGTATAACCCCGGGACGAATGGCCGCGATTTTATTGGCTTTCAGCGTTATATAGGAAGGCATAACGACTCGATTAAGCGGGACAGTCGGTGATTGCCGGTATAATTTGCCGAACAAATCGCATCCCCCCGGTAATCCTATCCGCGTCTGATCGCTCGTATCGATCATTCTGATTTACCGATCTCGCCGCGTTTCCGCCGCTGTCCGTCACATTATGGCGACGCACCTGCGCGCCTATACGTGTCTCTTTGTGCCCCGAGACGAAATTGATAGCCGGCCGAAATTATAGCTATATTCTGGACTTCATTAAAATAGAGAGGCGGCCACGGGGGGGCGGCCGGTAAATGCTGTTTTTCCGTTCGTTAGGAATTCGACGCGATTATCGGGCCGGCCGATACTCGCACAATCAACGACGATATCGTTTATTTCCGCTTTTCATCTGAAAGCGAACTCGCATTAACTCCCCCCCCTCCACCCCCTCCTCTCTCTCTCTCTCTCTCTCTCTCTAATTAAATGAGTCCCGCCATGAGTACGGCGACCCGCGCAACGAAATAACGGGACCGACTCCCCTATTGGTCCGCCTGGCCACGAACGCGTTTCGATTGTGTTTTCAAATCGTTCTAATTGCCGGAAGTATCGATAACAATGCGACGGGATTTATTCGCGAATCGTGCGCCGGAGCATTATTCGCGGATATCGAGTGGTAGACGATATTTTATTTTCACGGCTTATCGCGGCCGATCGGCGAGACCGGGACCGTTTCTACCAGACGGCGCGGAGGTAAATGGAAAACCGGGAGAAAAAAAAATGGACGGGGTCGGTGCTGGGCTCGAAGAGGGATAGCGCGCGCGTCACCCGCTACGCTCGGCGCGCGAGCCTCGATTACTTGGCGATGGTGCAATCAACGCCGAGTGATCTTTATTTTCGGAATCGCTCGGCGAAAGCGGACCGGCCGACCGGGATAAATTCGACCGGTCAGGTACTACAATTTCCTCGCAAACGAGACAATGCCGGCCGCGATGCTTCGTTACAACGGGGTGTGATTGTCGTGCCATCAAAGTGGACAGTTTACAGATGGATTGGAAGGCTCCCGCTGGAAGCTCCCTCGCGCTACTCTCGCGCGCGGTATGCGCGTATGCACAGGGACGCACTCTACTCTTTATCCCCCTCGCTCTGTCTCTTTCCAACTCGTCGCCATTGACGCTGTCCGCATCGCGCGCGGGCGATGGACCCTTAAAGACGATGTACCGCGTAAATTGTAATGGCGTCGCGTTGTAATATTAAGTCCCTCTATCTCTCTGTTGACATTATACGCAAATCAAATTTCATTCGTCAAAGATATTGTCTCTATCGTCACGTACACATAGTTTCAAACGAGGATAA